GCTTCGCGCGCGCGGTGGTTCTAGCAGGCCCCAGGCCTTGCCGAATTCACTGCTCCACTGAAGTAGTGGACCACAGTCCACGCATACCGATCTGCATTCCGAAAGGCCTTCGAGGAAAATGGTTGTGTAGGGGGGCGGAGGCCGTATGAATCGGGTTCCCAGAAGACCTTCTGGGAGCATGGGTTTGGGGCGTCTTGGGGAGCCTGTTGGGGCGTGGCGTCGTCGTCGTCGTCGTCGTCGTCGTCGTCGTCGTCGTCGTCATCGTGCTGCTACGATCCATTACAGAACCTGACCTTGGGGGTGGCCTAACCTGGCGCAGCCCCGATTGGCAACAGATCCGACACGTTCCGTCCAAACTGAACGCCAGGTTCGAATGCGCCCAGCACGAAGGGACGGCAGCTGCGGTCGCCAGTTGTCTCGCGCCGAGTCCGTACGTTTTACTACGGGACCGGGCTGATTTTTGCCTCTTGAAGGCCCTCTTGGGGCCCTCTTCGGCCATCTTGAAGCCATCTCGGGCCCTCTTGGGCCTTGCTGAGGCTGTCCTAGGGCCCTCTAAGGCATCCTCGGAACCCGGAAGTCATGTTCCCGGAGAGGCTTCTGGGAACATGATTTCGAACGGGGCCCTCTTGGGCTTCCCTGAGGCCGTCTTGGGGGCCTCCTGGGCCGGCTTCGGGGCCCCTTGGGCCGTCTCGGGGGGTTCGTTGAGCCCCAGAGGCCGACCCTTTTGGGCCGTCTGGGGCCCTCTTGGGTCTCTCTTGGGCTGTCTTGGGGCTCCGCGGGGGCGTCTGGGGCGCTGAGAAGACGATGCCAGCGGGCGTGCTGAAAATGGACGTTTTACAAAGGAAATGGGGCGATGTTTGCCTCTTCGGCCATCTCCAAGCCATCTCGGGCCCTCTGGGGCCTCGCGGAGGCTGTCGTGGTTGCCTCATGGAAGCCACTTGGGGCCTCTTGTGCCCTCTTCGGAAGCTTCTGGAGACTGAGGGCCGAGGGAGCCACGATCCTCGTGAGGGGTGCCAGAAATGGCCCAGGGGGGCCCCCATGGCGACCAGAGGCACCAGCCAGGCCCCCCCCGGCCTACTCCGATATGTATTTATATATATATATATATATAAATGTATACATATATACATATATAATCTGTACGTTTATACATATATGTATATATATATATGTATACATATGTATATACACACGTATACATATATATCTATATATATATATGTATACATATATAAATATACATATATACACAACATGAGCGGCGGGCCCCATAGGGAGGGGCCTCCCGCCTGTCTTCGCAAATCGCTCACAGACGAGGCTCCGCCTGATACTTCCTCCATATCCAAGCCTCCGCCTGATACTTCCTCCATATCCAAGCCTCAGGCGCCCAACAATGACGACAATTACAAGGTTCCGTTGACCCGCTCGAATTAAAACCATGAGCGGCGGGCCCCATAGGGAGGGGGCTCCCGCCTGAGACTTCTTCGCACTTCACTCACAGACGAGGCTCTTGCCTGACTCCTCCTCCATCTCCAAGCCTCAAGGGCCCAAAAGTGACGACAATTACAAGGTTCCGATGGCCCGCTCGGATTCAAAGCATGAGCGGCGGGCCCCATGGGGAGGGGGCTCCCGCCTGAGACTTCTTCGCAATTCACTCACAATCGAGACTCTGTTGACGATGGTGTTGTGATGATGATGATGATGAAGATGATGATGATGACGATGACGATGATGATGATGATGATGATGATGATGATGATGATGATGATGATGATGATGATGATGATGAGATGATGCTGATGATGATGACTATGCTGCTGATGATGATGGTGATGATGATGGTGAATGGTGAGTAATAGTTGTGGGTAAGTGAGTTGGAGAATGAGGGTGTGTGCGAGTGTGTAAGTGGGGATGCAGCGGTGATGATGATGAGGATGATGATAATGATGAAGGTGCTGTGAGTGTGTGAGTCTGTGAGTGTGTAACAAAGAAGGGAGGGGGTGTTCCTGTTCCTGCGCGGGGTGTCCAGAGGAAACAAGAACCCCGCTATGGAAGTGGGGCAATACACTGATAGAGAGAGAGAGGAAAATCATAACATACAAAGAAAGCGAAATAGAGAGAGAGAGAGAGAGACATGCAGACGTAAGAGGAGGATGAGGAGGAGGAGACGGAGGAGGAAGGAGGCACAGAGGGAGGATGATGAAGAGCATAGCGTAAGGGAGTCCAACGGGAAGATGAGGACTCCGGGATTCTACGGCTGTGGGTTGGCCACGCTCGCACCTCGTAGAGCAATAGTCCGAGGCAGAACGGAAGAACGGTGGGTGAGGAAGAGGAGGAGGATGAGGAGGAGGAGGAAGAGGAGGAGGAAGAGGAGGAGGAGGAATCTTGCAACGAAGGAGGAGCCACGTGGGTCCGCAATCCACAGCTCCAAGGCCCGCGCTCGAGCGCGACCAGAAAACACGAGAAGCCGAAGCGCTAGCAATGCTGCAAGCTCGTGGCGGAAGGAGAATCTGGGGGTGGACGACAGCGCAACCAGGAGGTCGTGCAGTGTCCAAATTGGCATGAAGGAAACGTGCATTGTTCTTACCATTTCCACGTAACCGTCGTTACCCAGGGGGGGATAACGGTCAGGCTCGGGCGGAGGGGAGCGCGTCGGGGCGGGGTTGCACTGCGATCGTCATAGTATGCACGCGAACACCACGGTGTGCCTGCGAGCGAAGCAGGGGCCTGCGATTCGATCGCCTGCGCAAATTGAAAACGCAGGCAGGGCGCCTGCGAGCTCTGACACTGGCTCTGGCGAGCCCCGGCCATGCCCCCTCAAAACGTGCGGTCGTTACCACTACCCGGGGAGAAGGGGGTGGCCCGGGTAATTACGGTACCGCCCGCCACGCGCCAAACAATGCAAACATGATCGACTCACGAACCCAGGAATATAAAAATGTGAAACATGGCAACGATTTCAAGACACCTGATTGGGCGACAGGCAATCGCAATGCTGAACGTATCGACCTGAGGTACCGTGCCAACGGCTGTGCTGTGCTGTCCCGTGCTGACTTGCGGTTTGCCATGCCGCGATTGTGCTCTGTAGCTTTGTGGATCGAGTCCTCCTTAGCATCCAAGACCTGGCCAAACTGATCTGGATCTTGAGCTTGAGCTGCCTGAGCAAGTTGCAGCTGGCCCAGAGCTATGTAGTTGAAGCCGAAACGCGCGAGACGTTCATTCAACTCGAGCTCAAAATCCAACTCAGCTCCCCAAAGGGACGACACGACACGGGGCACAGGCTCACGAAGGTGCCACAGAATGTGCCAGGGGCATCAGGGGATGCGCCAGGGGGCGTTTCAGGGGACGTATTAGGGGACATGCCCTGGACGTGTCTTGGACCTGCCACGGGGCGTGCCATAACGTATGCCACGGGGCGGGCCATGGGGCGGGCCCGAGGACGTAATGCCAGGGGACGCGGTGAGGGGCGCACCACAGAACGGACAGGGGAAACCCCTTGGGACGAGCCAGGAAACGCGACAGAGGACGAGCCAGGGAATGTGCCACGCCAAAGGGCGTGCCAGAGGACGTGCCAGGGCAAGTCACGCCAGAATGTCGCAAAAGGCGCGCCATAGAAACGGTTGTCCAACGTCACTTCGGGGGAACACCTCGGCGAATGGGCCAACAGCGGGCCACGCTCTGTAACGCGCACGCCGTGCAGTCACGCGCACGAGACGGCCTCACAGGGGACGCGCCAGCGCGCCAGGGGATGCCCCGCGGACGGGTGGGGTTGAACTTCGACGCGCTCTACTGCGACAAGCGTTTCGCTCGAGACATGCTCCAGAAATCCTGATGCTAGACAGTCGCCTGGGCGACCTGGGCACGTGAAAACAAGCGTCTCGCTTGAGACGTCCTCAAACAATCCTGAAGGTAGACATCCGCCTGGGCGACCTGGGCACGTTAAAACAATCGTTTCGCTCGAGACATTCCCAACACACCATCATATTATACATCCGCCTGGGCGACCTGGGCACGTGAAACCAATCATTTCACTCGAGACATCCGCAAGAAAACCTCATGCTAGACATCCGCCTGGGAGACCTGGACACGTGAAAACAAGCGTTTCGCTCGATACATCCTCAACACATCCTCATGTTAGACATCCGCCGAGGCGTCCTGGGCACGTCGAAGCAACCGTTTCGCTCGAGGGATCCCCAACACATCTTCATGTTAGACATCCGCCTTGGCGACCTGGACATGTGAAAACAAGCGTTTCGCTAAACACATCCTCAACAACTACTCATGTCAGAAATCTGCCTGAGCACCCTGGACACAGCGTTTCGCTTGAACCTCCCCCAACTCTGCAAAACATCGATTCGCTCGAGACGTCCTCAACAAAGTATGCAACACACGCGCTTTGCTCGGGACATCCTCAAACAAATCCGCGGGCCCATCCTTTTCTCGTTATTTATACCAGAATCCTTGCGTCGGCCCACCTCAAGTCGAGGCCGGATGTAAACAACATCTACAAAAGAGCCCTGGTCCTCTGCCCTTTCTGGTAAAACAAACAGGCAATCTCCATGCGATGTCTTGATGTTTGAATGCGGGGCCCACAAAGGTGTCAACCACTTCCCCAGGGCCGGTTTTTCATCCCGCGGAGGAGGAGGAGGAGGAGGAGGAGGAGGAGGAGGAGGAAGGAAGGGGAGGATGAGGGGGAGGATGAGGATGAGGAGGAGGAGACGAGGAGGAGGAGGAGGAGGAGGAGGAGAGGAGAGGAGAGGGGAAGGAGGAGTAGGAGGAGGAGGAGGAGGAGGAAGAGGAAGGAGGAGGAGGACGAGTCGTTGTTCGGTGCTGGGGCCAGGGGAGGGCCCCGGGGAGGCCGAGAACGGCAACACGAACTGCCGCCGCTGGTTTTGTCCCTGACGCGAGCAGGCCTGGACCGTCGTCGTCGTCGTCGTCGCCGTCGCCGTCTTCGTCGTCGTCGTCGCCGTCGCCGTCGCCGTCGTCGTCGTCGTCGTCGCCGCCGTCGTCGTCGCCGTCGGCGTCCGCGCTGAGCCTCCCGACGTGGCCTCGGGAGCGGGCGCCCGCGCTACGGGGGGGCGCCCCCTCTCACCGCTGCTGGCGCGGCCGCGCCTCACCGGCGACCTCCGCGCCTGGCAGCTCCTCTCGCGGCGCGGCGCGCGCCGACGGGGGGGGGGGCCTCCCCGGAGGCGGCGGCGGGCCCCGGGCAGGAGCACGGAGGGGAGGAAGGCGGAGGAGGAGGAGGGAGGAGGAGGAGGAGGAGGAGGAGGAGGCGGAGGAGGAGGAGGAGGAGGAGGAGGAGAGGAGGAGGAGGAGGGAAGAGAAGGAGGAGGAGGAGGAGGGGAAGGAGGAGGAGGGGGAGGAGGGGGGGAGGAGGAGGAGGGGGAGGAGGAGGAGGAGGAGGAGGAGGAGGAGAGGAGGAGGAGGAGGAGAGGAGGAGGGGGAGGAGGGGGAGGAGGAGGGGGAGGAGGGGGAGGAGGATGGAGGAGGAGGAGGAGGATGGAGGAGGAGCAAGGATGAAGAGGAGGAGGAGGAGGAGAAGGAGGAGGAGGAGGAGGAGGAGGAGGAGGAGGAGAAGGATGGAGGAGGAAGAGGAGGAGGAGGAGGAGGAGGAGGAGGGAGGAGGCCCCCGAGGCTTCCGGAGGCCCGAGACAGGTCAGACACGCTTCCAGGAACACACCATCTTCGACCCCACTTCCTCCATCCCTTCTCCATCCCTCCCCCTCCTCCGCCTCTAGGGGAACGAAGAATGGCATAAACACGGAAACTCGGAGTTCCGCGTGGATTTCTTAGATCCGCGCTTGGGCCCCCTGGCGGCGTCTCCAGCGCCGCCCCTGGCGCGCTCCGCGCGCCAGGGAGGGGGGTCCAGCGCGGATCTAAGAAAGCCGCGGGGAACTCCGAGTTTCCGTGTTTATGCCATTCTTCGTTCCCCTAGAGGAGGCGGAGGAGGGGGAGGGATGGAGAAGGGATGGAGGAAGTGGGGTCGGGGGGCGGCGCACCAGCGCTCACCCCCTACGCCGCTCCGGACGGCCGCGGCTGCGGGTCCTAGCCAGACCGCAGCGTCTACAGAGCTGCTCTACGGGGAGTGGCATCCGGAACTGGAGCCAATGTGCTCCGCAAAGCTTTTAGTTAATGGCGCCGAGTCCAGGTGACGCAAAGCTGTGTTCGGGCACCGATCGCCGCTCTCTCGGCACACGTTGGTCGCCGGGCCCTAGGACCACCCTTACGGCATCTGGCCGGTATGCCTGTTTGCTGCTTGGGCTCTGTGGGTTCGGGTCGGACCTGCGTGGGTCGGACACCTCTGGCATAAGTCTGACCATGCCGTCTTTCCCGTTTTCACGCTTTCACAAGCCGCTCACCAATTCGGCTAATTGGCGAGCTGAGTCTGTTCGATGCACTCGCGTCCCAGACTCCAAACGCATCCTGACGTGTACGGCCACGCACGTTTGCAGGACTCTTTTATCGCTGCACGGTAGGCGCCCGTACCGTCTTCCGTTTCCTTTTGAACGCGCGCCCGCCACCTGTGTTGGCGCTTTGAAGCCTGTCCCACGCGCAGCTGGACCGCTGAGCTGCCGTGCGCATGGAACTACGGAGGACGATCTACGTGCATTGTCTCTTTTGTGTTGGCGCGCCCACCTGAGTAGGCCACAGCTGCACGCTGCGTGTTTAACACTCCGGTGGCATGCAGCAATTAATTCAGAGGTTTCCTCTACGTGAGCGTCTACATCATCAGACAGGGTGTCGTTCTTCCATCTGTTATATATATATGAGGAAGTGGGGTCGAAGATGGTGTGTTCCTGGAAGTGTGTCTGACCTGTCTCGGGCCTCCGGAAGCCTCGGGGGCCTCCTCTGAGAAAGCGGCGGGCCCCAGGCAGGAACACGTTTAAAATCAGCCTGGCGAAGAATCCAACCATCTGCAGTTGTGAGTGCTGCAAGTGTGAATATCGCCTTCGGTGGAGCTCCCTGTGCGTCCACGACACGTGTGAGGGGTGCGCCGAAACCGGTGGCGCGGACGCATGCGGGCTGCGCCGCTGGGACCGTTCGGTGGAGCTCCCCATGAGGCCACGAAACGTGTGAGGGGTGTTCCGGACTTGGTGGCGCGGGCGCATGCGGGCGGCGCCGCTGGGACCTTTCGATGGAGCTCCCCATGGGGCCACGAAGCGTGTGATGGGGTGCGGCGACATGGGTGGCGCGGACGCATGGGGGCTCTGGAACCTTTGGCGGAGCTTCCCATGACCCATGAGGCCACGAAGCGTATGAGGGGTGCGCCGACATGGGTGGCGCGGGCGCATACGGGCTGCGCCGCTGGGACTTTCAGTGGAGCTCCCATGGGGCCACGAAGCATGTGATTGGTGTGCCGAACTTCGGCTCCCGAACTGAATGGCGCGTACGCATGCGGGCGGCGCCGCTGGGACCGTTCGGTGGAGCTCCCAATGGGGCCACACAGCGTGTGAGGGTGTACCAAACTGGGCGGCGCGGACGCATGCGGGCTGCGCCGCTGGGACCTTTCGGTGGAGCTCCCTATGGGGCCACAGCGCGTGTGAGTGTGCCGATATGGGAGAGAGCGTGATCCACCGTCGCTTGGAAATTTCCCCCCCCTTTTCCTCCGTAACCCGGGGGTCCCCCCCCCTCCGACAAAATCCCCCCTCCCCTGCTGGAATCCCCCCCCACCCTGCCCCCCGGCAAACCCCCCCCCCTAGGCCCCCCCCCCCACCCTCCAGAAAACGGGGGGGGGGGTCACTACTGGTTTGAGCCCCCACCCCCCTCCGGAAAACCGGGGGTGGTCGCCACCGGTTCGAACCCCCCCCCTCTGGAAAACCGTGGGGGGTCACTACCTGTTCGAGACCCCCCCCCAAGAAAACCGGGGGGGGGGCACTACCGGTTCGATCCCCCCGCAGCCTCCAAAAAACCGGGGGGGGTCACTACAGGTTCGAACCCCTCCCCCCCCTACGCTCACCGCCGGCAAACGACTCCCGGGTCCCTACCACCGTCCGCACCACATCACCCACTACTGTCCCCGGCACCACTGTCCTCACCACCACTGTCCCGACTGTTCCCACCACCGTCCCGTCCCCAGTCCCCACCAATGCCCCCACCACTGTCGCACTGTCCCCACTGTCCCCACCACTGTTCCCACCACGGTCCCACTCTCCCCACTTTCCCCACGGCCCCAACCACCATCCCACTGTCCCACTGTCCCCGCCGCTGTCCCACTGAGCTGTCCCACTGTTCCCACCACTGTCCCCATCACTGTCCCCACCACTGTCCCCACAGTACCTCTGTCCCATTGTCCCACCTCCGTCCTCGCCACCGCCCCCACTGTCCCCACCACCACTGTCCCCACCACTGTCCCACTTCCCGCACCACATTCCCACTGTCCCCACACCACTGTCCCCACCACCACCACCGTCCCCACCATTGTCCCACAGTCCCCACCACCGTCCCACTGCCCCCACTGTACCCACCCTTGTCCCCGCTGTGACCACCAGTGAACCCCACAACTGTCGCACTGTCCCCACTCTCCCCATCATTGTCCCACCACGGTCTCAGTCTCCACACTTCCCCCACGGTCCCCACCACTATCCCACTGTCCCCACTGTACCCACCACTGTCCCACTGTCCCCGCCGCTATCCCACTGTGCTGTCCCACCGTCCCCACTGTCCCCACCACTGTCCCACTGTCCCCACTGTCCCCGCCATTCTCCCCACTGTACTACTGTTCCACCAGTGTCCAACTGTCCCGAGGAGCGGGAATCATTTGCTGGCGGCGAGGGGGGGGGTTCGAACCCGTAGTGACCCCCCCCCGGTTTTCGAGGGGGGGGGACGGGGACGTTTTGGGAAACCCCTGTGACCCCCCCGGGTTGTGCGCCAGCAGCACGCTCTTTCCGATATGGGTTGCGCGGGCGCGTGCGGGCTGCGCCGCTGAAGCACTCGGTGGAGCTCCCCATGAGGCCACGAAACGTGTGAGGGGTGTTCCGGACTTGGTGGCGCGGGCGCATGCGGGCGGCGCCGCTGGGACCCTCGATGGAGCTCCCCATGGGGCCACGAAGCCCTTCCAAGGCCACGAAGCGTCTGAGGGGGTGTGCCCCAACACAGACCTGCGGCGCGCAGAGACAGGAGTGGGAGAGAGAGAGAGGGGAATGGCGAGGGGGAGAGGAGGAGAACGCGGGGCGCCCTCCTCGAACCGAGGACCCAGCACCGCAGGCTGGTGTCGGGAACAAGAGCAGCTCGGCGGGCGCGGGCGCGCCGAGGCCGGTGCAGGCGATGGCCGGGCCACGGGCAGGACACGCCGGGAGCGAGTGGAGGCACAGACGGCGGAGGAGGACCAGTCGGCGCTCCTGGGCGCACCCACGTGCGACGCCTGCTGCGGTCGGACTTCACTGGGCAGGGCACGCGAGAGGACACGAGACCCTTCCGAGGGCCACACTGCCAGAGGGATGCAGGAGGCACGGGTCGCGAGACACAGGACACAGAGGTGTACCCTGGATTTGGCAGAGTCGGCCTTCGAATCTGGGCCGGCTGTACATGGGGTTCGCCGTGGGCGCATGTCTGGACGCGAACGGGCCCGTGATGTACCCGTTGGCGGTTTCATGCTTACGGGGTCTAAGCGCCATGCTTGCCACATGCGGGAAATGCAACAGAGGCGGGAACAACTCAGAAAGAAATTGCCCCGGGCAGGAACAAGGGAAAGCGGCACCACCACCACAAGGGGCCGCGAACGGGAGGAGGGAGCCAGGGGGGTGCCCCCTGGTGATGTGGTCCCCTCCCCCCCCCTCGCTCGAGACGTCCCCCATCCCCAGCTCGGGGAAGCATCGCGGACCTCCTCTCTGGAGGTGGGCTGCCTGGTGGTGGTGGTGTCTCGCTTCTCCTTCCCCCGGCTCAGGCTTCTGTCAGGAAGCGTCTCCCCCAGTCGAGGGGGCGAAGGGGTGGGGTGAGCCCAGCGGTGGGATCAGGGGAAGATCACCCAGGACGGCCCCTAGAGAAGGGAAATATCAGCTTGGTCGCTCCCTAACCAAACCTTGGGCTAACCCGAGCTCCTACGTACCCCCGACCCAGACATCTGCGCGCCTTTGGAAGGGCACGCCCGCAAGGGGCGGGGAGGGCGTCAAGAAGGGGCTCACGACGAAACACGGGCCCTGGGGAAAGTTCGACACCTCGGGGAGCCCCGCACTGGAAAGTGAAGGCATCGCATGTCTGGGTTAGGAAGCACTTCCTGGGGAGAACTCGTGAGAACGGTGAGGCCATAAAGGCTGGTGTTTAGCAGCATCACGCGGGTCCAGCTTACACAGGCTTCGGCCAGTTCTCGACCGCGAATATACGAGCGCCGATGCTGAAGTTAACCTTTCAGGAGCTGCATTCCAACCTCTGAGGTTGCAGGGGATGCTTCTCAGGAGCCCTCCTGAGAAGGGAGGCGCCTTCATGAGAAGGCGGGGAGTTCTTTTTGGGGAACAGGACGATACCGATACCACAGCTGCAGGGACGTCTCCCGAGATCCGTTCTGACCAGGATTTCGACGCGAACCCATCCGTCGCGACAAGGAGCGGGTAGCGATCTCGGTGCATGTCTCCACTCTGACCTCAGGAGCACTCCTGGCTTCTAAGAAGCCTTCTTGGATTGGACGCCCGAATTATCCGGGGTAACTCGGGTCCGGGGTAACTCGGGTTTGGGTTCCCGAAAAACGAACCCGAGTTAGCCCTGACGCGAGTTACCCCTGATGATTCGGGGCTCTGGACGCCCGAAATATCTGGGGTAACTCGGGTCCGGGGTAACTCGGGTTCGGAATCCCGAAAAACGAACCCGAGTTAGCCCTGACCCGAGTTACCCCTGATCGGGGCTCTGATTGGAAGCCCAGTGGCTCTTCCAAGAAGGCCCCCTCCCACACGGTGGCTGCACGCAGCCGAGTTCCCCGGCGCCCCACGACGACGCAGGTGTCCTTGCGTCTCGCGGAGAGCGCCTGGCGGAGGAGCCGGAACCAGCCGCACGCAGCACACTTCGCACCCCCCTGGGGTTGCCACACCCCATACCAGACGTACGACGTCTTGATTTTCTTGGGGTAATCCTTGTGCAAGAAAGGAAAAGGAGGATGAGATGGAGGACGACGAGGACGAGGGGGAGTTGGGAGAGGAGGGAAAAGAGGCCTTGAGGCCTTCCTGTGGGCTTCCTGCGGGCTTCCTGGGAGCCCCTAAATGGAATTCAAGACGAACCACGAGCGCCCCGGGAACCCCCCTCCCCGGTGAGGGGCAACGACAGGCGGGGACTGTGGCATAGGGGGGGGACACATCGACCTGGCATCGGCAATCCATCGCCGCCAGATCGGCGATGGGCCCCCGAGAGTGACTCCGCGCCCTCCTCTGCAGGCTGGGCTATCGGGCCCCTATCGGCGATCAACGGGCGATTGGGGATCGATGCATCCCCCCCTTATGCCTGTCCCCCCGTATCGTTGCCCCTGACCCTGGAAATCCCGACCACCTTCCGGGGGCCGGCAGGCTTCTTCGGCCCGAGCCGCCCTTCCGTGTGTGGCCCTAGGGCCAGGCGGGGGCCCCAGAGAGCAGCAGCGGCCCGAGAACCCTCCGCCGTGCTTGCGTGTCACCACGCGAGCACGTCTGGCGGGCCCCAGGCATAGACACCACCACCTCGTCGATTCCCCCTCCCTCCTCCACCCTCCTCTTCCTCTCCTCTTTCCTGGAGGAGGGAGGGAATGAGGGAGGTTTAAGCAAGGACCGAACGTCCCAGCATTCCTATAGGCCTACCGGGAATGCTCTTAGAACCCCCACAATGCTCTTAATACCGAAGCCATGTTCTTAGAACATAAGCCCGACGTGTTAAAATAAGACAATACTGGCCAGGCATGTTCTTAGAACACTTCGTGCAGACCACCAAAGGTCCTTAGAACATCCTTTGGTGGGCCTATAGGCGAACCAGGACGCTTCGCCACTGTTTGAGAGGTGGTGGTGGTGGTGGTGGTGGTGGTGGTGGTGGTGGTGGTGGTGGTGGTGGTGGTGGTGGTGGTGGTGGTGGTGGTGGTGGTGGTGGTGTATACCCTTGGGCCTCGTATATCTGAGATGGGCGCTTCTACGACGGCCCCCGCCCTCCGAGGGGCACTCCCGGCCCTCTCGGGAGAGTGCCACGCCCCCTCGCAGCGCAAGCCCCCTCGCGCGCGCGCGCAGGGCTGCTCCTGCGGTGCCCCCCGCATGGCGGACAGGACGGCCGTGAAGCCGAAGGACACGGCGGCCACGACCTCAGACTGAGATCTCCGACGATAGCCAGAGGAGGAACATGTACCCATACCGCTACCCTTCGCCCGTTTTCCCCTCTTTTGGGCCTCCTCGAAGGCCCGCGTCGCCACCGTTGGATTCGCTTCGAAATGTTGGTCAGAACGTACTCCAGATTTCGTAATAAAGGGAGGGGGGTCTCATTTCGGGGGGGGTCTCTTCCAGGCTATATTGGAGGGCCTGGGGGGGTCTGGGGACGGTGTTTTGGAGGGTTCTCCGACGGGGGAGGTCTGAAATGGCTTGTCTTGGAGGGTCCAGACCCCCTCCCTTTTATTACGAAATCTGGAGTATCCTGGAGAGGTCCAGAGAGCAGCGGTGTCGGTACCTCTTGGTCTCCCCAGAGAAGGCCACAAGCTCCTGCTGCTGAGGCTCAGCCTGTGGCGGCGGCGGCGGCCCCTGCGGCACGGTGTGCCCTGCGAGCGGATGGCGCGTTGCCCCGCTCCGCGAGGCGGGAGGCTGGGAGAACCCTGGGACGTTGACGCCTCCTCCTCCTCCTCCTCCTCTTCCTCCTCCTTCTCCTCCTCCTCCTCCTCCTCCGTCTCCTCCTCCTCCTCCTCCTTCTCCTCCTCCTCCTCCTCCTCCTCCTCCGGGACATGCTTAGCGTGCCACGCCGAAGCAACGGACACCAGAACGGCGCCAGAGCACCGCACCATGTTTGGGCGCCCCATCGGGCCCCGCTCCACCGCGGCACGGTGCCATAGTCATTCGGCCTCGGGGCCGAACAGCGGTGCACCGTACCGTCCCTGGGACGAGGAGCGACCACACATGTCGGGAGATACTATCTATATATATATATATATATATATATATATGACTGCTGGCATTCGTTCTCCGCAAGAATACAAATCGGCATTCCCCTTGCTACAGTCTTTTGAAGCAAACAGCGGCGTGGTGCACACGAGTCGTCCGCGGATGTCTCGCCGCAGAGGCTCCGGCAAAAGCCGGCATGCAGGCGCTGACCTCTCGAAGATGTGCCGTGGCCGACGTCCGCCGCCACGGCCCACTGTCCACGAGCGCCCCGAGCTTGCGGAGGGGGGGAACGGCAGAAACGGGGAGGGGAAGGAGGAGACTGGTTTTTGTCGGGGGCGCCCAAGAGGGGGGGTGCAAATCATGGCCCGAGGCATGTGCGCGGACCAGGGGGGCCAGGAAACGCTTTGAAATAAGAAGAGGAGCCAGGACATCTGGGTATATATATATATATGTATATATATATATGGCCTCCGCCATGCTATCCCCCCCCTAGTCCTCCCCCCCTCTTGGCCGCCCCCGATTTTATGAATTCTAAAATCAGTTTCTCTAATTCAAGAACCAGCTTCTTCAGGGAATTCACGAAACAATTTCTCGAATTCAAGGGCCAGGAGGAGAACGGGACAGGCTGCAGTTCATAGCGTCTCCTTCGGAATGCATCGACCGACGTCCCAGCCTAATTGCCAAATCCTTCCCAACGGTCCAGGCCTTAGTGGGCCCTGGAAACGACAGGGCCGTTTTTTTACCGGTTCCGTTTTGCCGTTTTTCTGCCGGTCCCGACGCCGTTTTTGTTGCCGGTTCCGTCGCCGTTGTTTGACCGGTTCCGGCTCCAGCTCCACGAGCCGTTTTTTTCCGTTTCCGGTGGCCGTTTTTTTGCCGTTTCCATTTTCAATGGGATTTTGTCGGATACGGTGAAAAAACAGCCCTGCCGCTTCCGGGGCCCAGGGAGGTCCAGGCTCACTCACGGTCTGATTTGACAGGGGGGGGGAGAAGAGGTCGTGAGGGAGACCTGTTCTCGGCCCCGGGGCCTGCCTCAAAATGGATGCTTCACCCCGAGCCGTCTTCTGACGGCACCTGGGCCCCAGAAGGTGCCCCCAAGAGGATGACAGAAAGTGAAAAAAAACAGGTCAGGACACCCTCCCTGCGGGAATTCTCTTCGGGCTCACCCCCGGCCTGACCCTGCTCCTCCTCCTGCTCCTCCTCCTCCTCCTCCTCCTCCTCCTCCTCCTTCTCCTCCTCCTCCTCCTCCTCCCTCCTCCTCCTCCTCCTCCTCCTCCTCTCCTCTCCTCCTCCCCTCCTCCTCCTTCTCCTCCTCTTCCTCCTCCTCCCCCCCCTCCCCCTCCTCCTCCTCCTCCTCTTCCTCCTCCTCCACCTCTTCCTCCTCCTCCTCCTCCTCCTCCTGGCCCACCACGCCACCAGCGGGTCGGCGTGCCATCAACCACCTTTTCGGAGGGCCGCGCGGATTTCTTGAATCGGCGCAGAAACCCGCCCGCTCCCGGGCGCGCTGGCGCGCGGAGCGTGCCAGGTGACAGGGGCGGCGCTGGAGGCGCCGCCAAGGGGGCCCAGCGCCGATCAAGAAATCCGTGCGAAGCTCCGAAAGTTTATGTTTATGCAGTTTTTCCCTTTCGAGATCAAGGATCAAGGCGGACTGAGTCAGCGGCAGGGACTCGCATCCAGAGGGGGCAAAACGAGAAGTTGAACAGGAACACTGGGATCCACGTGGCCCAGCAGACTCGCAGGTCTTCGCCCCAGTTGGTCCAGCACTTCATGAGGGCGTCATGGGGTGTGCCCCCTTCGATGAATTCCTTCACCTGGTAGAACGCCGGGAAGAGAACAAAAGGATGGTGAACAAACTGATCCAGGAACACCTGCTGCAAGACAGCCTTCTGCCCAGCCTTGTCGGCCAACTTCTCGCTCACGGGCTCACCGGCTACACGTCAGAATGGCCGTAGGCAAGAGTGACCTTTGGTGCGCGACTTTCGGGGGCAATGTGGATGCCAAATCCAAGCGCGCAAGCCGCTTCAAGCTAGTGCTGGGGTGATCACTGATGGACCTGTTTTCCACCACCACCACCATAAGCTGGAGGGGGAAGGAGGTGGAGGAGGCGGAGGAGGAGGAGGACGAAGAGGAGAAGGAGGAGGAGGCGGAGGTGGAGGAGGAGGACCTCCTCCCCCTCCAACATATATAGGTGGTGATGGTGGAAAACAAACCAAAAATCCCTGCGGGCCCGCAGCAAAAGCCACTCTAGCGCGACGCGCCACTCGTACGCGCAACCGGGCTTCGCAGCGAACGCGGCGGACCCGGGGAAGAGGCGCCTCGCGAACAGATTCACGTAAATAAAATACTGCACGCCGCCCAGATTAATGGTGGGCTTGTTTTCCACCTCCGCCACCACCATAAGTAGGAGGGGGAGGGGATCCTCATCCTCCTCCTCGTCCTCCTTCTCCTCCGCCTCCTCCTCCTCGTCCTTATCCTCCTCCTCCGCCTCCTCCACCTCCTTCCCTTCTCCAACTTATGGTGGTGGTGGTGGTGGAAAAAAGGCCCATCAATAAAGGAGCCCCCAAGTCCGCCACCGCGCAGTGCCGCGGCTGGCAAGTGTTGGCCACCTTGTCTTTGTAGTCCGTACTGGCGCTCGCGAATCGATGTCGACTTGTTTCGTGCTTCTTGCAATTGCCCATCTGGCGCATCGGTGCCAGCATGCGTCGGCGTCTTCCGCGATGTCTATCGGGGTTGGGCTTCCCGTCGGGGAAACCATGATCGACCCGCGACCCCAGAAAAGGGATCGAAAACTGTGCAGCATGGCGTCGTTTCCAAGACGTCAAAACTTGAGCGACGGGCAACTACATTGCTCAAGGTAACGATCGTGATGTACCGTGCCACAGGCTGTGTCGTGCTGTGCTGAGTTCAGCGTGTCACGCCACGTTGAACCGTGCCACGCCCTATTGCATTGTGGATCAAGCCGTCCTTGGCGTCTGAATCGTGGCCGGACTGATATGGATCTTAAGCTCGAACCGCCTGAACGCATAGCTCAGGCTGGTTCTAGACGAGACGCGCGGGGCGCTCGACCAGCTCGAGCTCAAGATCCGGCTCAGTTCTGAAGCCATCGCCCGAGACATTCAGCTTGGCAAAGGAGCGAACCGAACGCGAGCACGACAAGCGGGCGTTCGACCAGCTCGAACTCAAGATCCAGTTAAGTTAGGAGCGGGACGAGACCATCAAGGGGCGAGTCCGAACCGAAACGAACAGCACCGAGACGACGACAAGTCCCCCGCTCGACACCTCCTCAACCAATACAAAGGCCAGCGTTTCGCAAGAGACATCCTCAACACATCCTGCAGAATGGGGGACGGGAAAATGACCACAGCCACTGCTTCTTGTTTGCGCCGCCTTCCAGCCGACCGAAAAAGAAGCAGTGGTTGTGGTCATTTCCCTGGTGCCAAGCTTAACGAACATGACCACAACCACTGCTTTGTTGCTGCTGGCTGGAAGGCGGCAACAAAAGAAAAGCAATCGCTGTGGTCGTTTTCACTTCCCGTACAGAAGAAGCCCTGTGCTGCAGGCCAGGGCCTCGCTCGAGGCAGCCTCGACGGAGCCCGCAGAGCGAGCGCTTCGCCCGAGACGTCCTCGAAGGACCCGCCCGGGCGGCCATGGGCGCGTGGAGGCCCGAGCTGCGCTCGAAGCACACCCTCGACACACCCTGATTTAAGTCGGGCCTGTCCCCCTACAAGGGGATTTTCGACTACAAATAAAAAATACATCAAAGATACCCCAAAAAGGTCAAACAATGTCCAACAAATAGTCCCCAGACTATTTTTTGATTATGTGTTGATCATTTCTGGGGTATTTTGAATTTTTCGTCGGAAGCCCCCCTTTAGGGGGACAGGCCCGACTTAAACCCTGATGTCAAAGATCCGCCTGGGCGGCATAAAAAAAGCGTGAACACACGTGGGTCCCTTGTTAGGGGACCACAAGCGAACCCTACCCCTCCCCCCCCAGAAATCGTGGGGTGTAGGGGTTGGGTCCACATGTGGCCCCCTAATACATGGGCGTGAAAATGCGTGCCCCCCCCCCCCCAGGAAGCCCCAGGGGGGCCTCCCCGGAACCCCAAGACGGAACGTGTAAAGTGACTACGCAACGAGTGCCAGTTCGTTGACTTTGCTCTGCTGTGGTGTCCTCCCTCACATTAGGGAGGGGGAGGACACCCCTGGGTGGCCAAGACGCGTGACAACATGTGGGTCCCTTTTCGACCCAGAGCGCAGCAAACGTGAAATCACGTGGTCCCTTTCGCTCCAGAGTTGAGGTGCGCGGACGACGACATCCTGTTGGACCTTTCAAACAATAAAAATACACATCAATAAGAATAACAAACAATATAATTAGCCTGGCGAAGGATCCAACCTTATGCAGTTGCGAATGCAATAACTATGGGTATAATATTCGGTGGAGCTCCCTATGGGGCCACGAAGCGCTGCACTGGGTAGTGCGTGACGCATGCGGGCGGTGCCACTGGGGCCGTCGGTGGGGCTCCCTATGGGGCCACGAAACGCTGTGCTGGGTGGTGCGTGACGCATGCGGACTTTGCCACTGGGGCCTTCGGTGGAGATACCCATGGGCCGCGAAAGGTTGTGCTGGATGCTGCGTGACGCATACGGACTTGCCACTCGGGCTTTCGGTGGAGCTCCCTATGGGCCACGAAACCTTGTGCTGGAGGGGGAGACGTATGCAGACTTTGCCACTGGAGCCTTCGGTGGAGCTCTCTATGGGGCCACAATTCGGTGGAGCTCCCAATGGGGCCGCGAAAGGCTGCACTGGGCGTGCGGGACGCATGCGGGCGGTCCCACTGAGACCTTCGCTGGGGGCCCCTATGGGATCACGAAACGCTGTATTGGGTGGGGGCGACGCATGCGGACAGTCCCACTGGGACCTTCGGTGGGGTCCCTTATGGGGCCACGACATGCTTTACTTGGTGTGCGGGACGCATGCGGGCGGTCAAACTGAGACCTTCGGTGGAGCTCAATATGGGGCCGCGAAACGCTGTACTGGGTGTGCGGGACGCATGCAGGCGGTCCCATTGGGGCCTTCGGTGGAGCCCCCTATGGGGCCACGAAGCGCTGCACTGGGTGGTGCGTGACGCATGCGGGCGATGCCACTGGGGCCGTCGGTGGGGCTCACTATGCGGCCACGAAGCGCTGTGCTGGGTGGTGCGTGACGCATGCAGGCGATGCCACTGGGGCCGTCGGTGGAGTTCCCTATGGGGCCACGAAGCGCTGTACTGGGTGGTGCGTGACGCATGCGGCCTTTGCCACTGGGGCTCTCGGTGGAGCTCCCCATAGGGCACGAAACGCTGTATTGGGTGGTGCGTGACGCATGCAGGCGATGCCACTGGGGCTCTCGGTGGAGCTCCCCATAGGGCCACGAAACGCTGTACTGGGTGGTGCGTGACGCATGCGGGCGGTGCCACTGGGGCCGTCGGTGGTGCTCCCTATAGGGCCACGAAGCGCTGTACTGGGCTGGGTGGTGCGTGACGCATGAGGGCGGTGGCACCGGGGCTCTCGGTGGAGCTCCCCATAGGGCCACGAAGCGCTGTACTGGGTGGTGTGTGACGCATGCGGGCGGTGCCACTGGGGCCGTCGGTGGTGCTCCCTATGAGGCCACGAAACGCTGTACTGGGTGGTGCGTGACGCATGCGGGCGGTCCGACTGGGAACTTCGGTGGAGCTCCCTTTGGGGCCACGAAGCGGTGTATTGGGGGTTGCGTGACGCATGTGGGCGGTCCCATTGGGGCCTTCGGTGGAGCTCCACATGGGGCCACGAAGCGTGTGAGGGGTGTGCTGAAACGGGTGATGATGATGGTGATGGAGGAGGGAAGAGGGGAAAGCGGAGAGGAGTGACGCGGGGCGCTGTCTCTTCAAAACAAGGACCCAACACCACGGGATGGTTGAGAAAAATCTGGGAAATACCGGGAGCAAAAAAAGTACCAACAGTCATGAATATGGTAATTTCCAAAAATACCGGCACCCGCAGAGAAAAAAACACCAGGATATACCTGAGGTTAATAAACTACCAACAGCCACGCGGAACGCAACTTCCCGAAAAAATACCGGGACACACCGCGGAGGACTTTATTTCATGTCTATTCCCTACCTAAGCTCTGCCTAGAAGGGTTCTTACTCGGTATGCTTAAAGGGCGGGCCGGGCAGTGCAACTCGCCCCGGGCGGCTCCCCCAGTATCCGCCCCGCGGTTCCCCCAGTTACGTCCCCTTAGCTTAGCGTTGCTTATCTCATCTTAGCTTAGCTTATCTCATCTTAGCTTAGCTTAGCTGCCAGCCGCCGCTGCCACCTGCGCCTCCTCGTCATCCTCACCGTCATCCAGCTCCTGGTCCTCCTGCCCCGGATCTGTGGGTGTACTTTGTGGCGCTCGTGTGTGCCAACCGCGTTGCCAGTTTAGTCTTCTGTTCGGGTAATTAGCATGGGTGTAATTCCCTACCTAGGCTCTGCCTAGAGGGTTAGCTTAACTTAGAGTAGCTTAGCTCAGCTTCGCTTAGCATGGCGCAGTGCTGCATTAGCATAGCATAGCATAGCATGACATGGCCAAGCATATCATAGCATATCATAGCATGGCATAGCATAGCGCATCTTAGTACAGCATAGCATAGCATAGCACAGCGCAACATGACATAACATAGCTTAACATCGCATAACACAGCATAGTATAGCGTAGCATGGCGCAGCATAGCATATCATAGCATAGCGTAGCATAGCATAGCATAGCAACGAGCGCTGCTTTCCTAGGGGCTCCAACTTCTAGGTAGGGTCGCACTGGGGTAATTTGATTAGCTGAATTCTGTGATCGTCCGATATGGTGATCGTCCGCGCAGCTCAATTCCAGAGCACAGTAAACGTGAAAACACGTGGGTCCCTTTCGACCCAGAGCGGAACACGCGTGAAACACACATGGGCCCCTCACGCCCCCGAACGCAGCAAGCGTGAAATCACGTGAGCCCCTTTAGCACCAGAGCGCAGCAAACGTGAACTTACGCGGGTCCCTTTCGACCCAGCGCGGCGCAAGCGGGCAAGCACGTGGGCCCCTTTCGCCACAGAGCGCAACGAGCGTGAAAACACGTGGGCCCATTTCGCCCAGGGCGCAGCAATCGTAAAACTACATGGGCCCCTTTCGCCCCAAGGCGGAGCAAGCGTGAAATTACGTGGGTCCCTTTCGTCCCAGAATACAATAAACGTGAAAACGTCTGCTCCCCCCCCCCCTCGAGGAAACCACAGAGGGGGCCTCCCTGGAGCCCCAGGACGGAACGTGTCAAAAGACGACGCATCTAGTGCCAGTTCGTTGAGTTTGCTCTGCTGTGGTATCCTCCCTCACATTTGGGAGGGGGGGACCACCCCTTGGTAGTCAGGACGCGTGACAACACGTGGGTCCTTTTCGACCCAGTGCGCAGCAAGCGTGAAATCACGTGGCCCCTTTCGCTCCAGAGCACAACACGTAAACATGAAAACACGTGGGTCCCATTCGCCTAGAGCGGAACAAGCCCGAACGCACGTGGTCCCATGCCGCCCTAGAGCGCAGCAAGCGTGAACATACGTGGGCCCCTTTCGCCCAAGAGCGCAGCAAGCGTGAGAGCACGTGAGCCCCCTTCGTCCCAAAGCGGAGCAAGCGTAAAGAAGTGTTTTCACGCTTGCTCCGCCCTGAGGCGAAAAGGACCCACATGTCTGCACGCTTGTTCCGCCCTGAAGCGACTAGAACTGGGGCGACAGAGACGGCCTTTCAACTTCTCCCCCCAAAAAAAGCGCTTCGCTCGTGCCATCCTCCATATTTCTGCGCGCAGGAGGCGCGCCCCTCGAGCGGGTAGGCAAAAAGTAAACTGTTCGAATATTTGAGAAACTGAATGTCTTCGAGTTGAATTATTCATCGAGGATTGAACGCAAGACGCTTCAAACACAATGTCTGTTTTCCCGACCATCCTGTGGTGTTGGGTCCTCGTTTTGAAGAGACGGTCCCCGCGCTCCTCTCCACTTATCATCCTGCTCCTCCCCCTCCTCCTCCTCCTCCTCCTCCTCCCTCCTCCTCCTCCCTCCTCCTCCTCTTCTTCCTCCTACTCCTCCTCCTCCTCCACCGCCTCCTCCTCCTCCGCCTCCGCCTCCGCCTCCGCCTCCGCCTCAGCCTCAACCTCCGCCTCCTCCGCCTCCTCCGCCTCCTCCTCCTCCTCCTCCTCCTCCTCCTCCTCCTCCCTGTCGCACCCCGAGGCAAGTTTTTCAGGGCAGGCCGGGCGTTTCGCCTGAGACTTCCTCACCATGTATGATTCTGAAGCTTAAGCAATGGCAACATTTTGACAGATGGAGGGCGGGCCGTTTTCAGAATGTGGCTTTCGCCTCAGCGCCGCGCACAATCGTTTCAAGAAGCTGCAAGAGCGTCGCGGACCGAGGGCGGGTGGTGTTCAAAATGTGGTTCTCGCTTTTGCGCCGCGCACATGCGTTGCCAACATTTGCAAGAGATTCGCGGGTTCAGGGTGGGTCGTTTTCACCATGTGGCTCTTGCCTCAGCGCCGCGCGCATTCGCTTCAGCAGCTTGCACGAATTTTAAGGATGGAGGGCGGGTAGTTTTCAAAATGTGGCTCTCGCCTTGGCACCGCCCGCGTTCGTTTTCAACATTTGCAAGGGCTTCACGGATTGAGGGCGGGCCGTTTTCAAAATGTGGCTCTCGCCTGAGCACCGCGCACATTTGTTTTCAACAAATTGCAAGAGCTTCACTGATTGAGGTTGGCTCCTTTTCAAAATGTGGCTCCCGCCTTCGCACCGCTCGCATTCGTTTTAAACGTTTGCGCGAGCTTCGCGGATCGAAGGCGGGTCGTTTTCACACTGTGGTTCTCGCCTTAGCGTCGCGCGCATTCGCTTCGATAATTTGCAATAAGTCCACGGTCGTTTTGGAAATGTGGCTCTCGCCTCAGCGCCGCGCACATTCGCTTTCAACATTTGCAAAAGCTTCACTGACTGAGGGCGGGCCGTTTTCAAAATGTGGCTCTCGCCTTAGCACCGCGCACATTCGTTTTCAACATGTGCAAGAGCTTCGCGGATTCAGGGTGGGTCGTTTTCACCATGTGGCTCTCGCCTAAGCGCCGCGCACATTCGTTGCAAACGTTTTGCAAATTGAGGGCGGGTCGTTTTCGAAATGTGGCTCTCGCCCTAGCGCCGCGCGCATTTGATTTCAACATTTGCCAGAGTTTCACGAATTCCCATGATCAACGTACCAGAAACGGTGTTTTGAAAGGGTTCAGGATCACGCGGGTGCAACAATCATGCTGTTTCGCGGTGTCGAAATCTCCAAAATGGCGCTCTGGCACGATTCCGGATTGCCAAGACACAGAAGTCAGGTTGATACGTGGCGTCGGAATCCAGAGAACAATGCTTTGACATGATTCCAGATCTTCAAACGGTTGCCTTCCAACGAGGCAGTTCCCTCCATGAAAATGAACCAATGTGGGAGCCTATGAAGAGCGAGTTAATTCCAACATCGAAGATGACCCTTGGCTTTAAACTGCTGCTCCTCCTCCTCCTCCTCCTCCTCCTCCTCCTCCTCCTCCTCTTCCTCCTCCTCCTCCCTCCTCCCGTCACCCCCCTCACTTGGGCGGACACCTCACACGTTTCGTGGCCCCCACAGGGAGCTCCACCGAAGGCCCTTGTGCCACCACCCGCATGCGACACGCACACCCATTTCGGCACACCCCTCACACGTCTCGTGGCCCCCACAGGGAGCTCCACCGAAGGCCCCAAAGACACCGCCCGCATGCGTCACGCACACCCATTTCGACACACCCCTCACACGTTTCGTGGCCCCACACGGAGCTCCACCGAAGGCCCCAATGCCACCGCCCGCATGCGTCACGCACACCAATTTCGGCACACCCCTTACACGTTTCGTGGCCCCACGGGGAGCTCCACCGAAGGCCCCAGTGCCACCCCCGCATGCGTCACTCACACAAATTTCGGCACACCCCTCACACGTTTCGTGGCCCCATCCACCGAAGGCCCCAGTGACACCGCCCGCATGCGTCACGCACGCACGCAAAGTGGCCCCATGGGGAGCTCCACCGACAGCCCCAGTGCCACCGCCTGCATGCGTCACCCACGCCCGTTCCAGCTCACCCCTCACAAGTTTCGTGGCCCCACAGGGAGCCCCACCGAAGGCGCAAGTGGCTGCGTTCGCATGCGCCCACCGCACCCATTTCAGCACACCCATCACTCGCTTCTCGGCACCATAGGGAGCTCCACCGACGGCCCCAATAGCTGCGTTCGCATGCGCCCACCGCGCCAATTTCGGCACACCTGTCACGCGCTTCGTGGCCCCATGAGAAATTCCACCGACGGCCCCAATGGCTGCGTTCGCATGACCAGACAAATTGTGGCACAGTCCTCACACGTTTCGCGGCCCTATATGGAGGTCCTCCGAATGTGGTGCATATAAAGACGATGATCACAACTGCATATGGTTGGGTCCTTCGCCAGGCTAATAGAACAAGGGAAAACGAAGGTCAGCGGACCTAGATATCTACCGAGGATCCGACACGGGAGGCGAATTTTCCTGGAAACGCTTTGTTTTTGCACGCCGAATGGATGGTCACCTTGTTTCTCATCCACAAGAAATCCGCCGGCGCACCCCCACCATGGCACCGGGGACAGATTACCGTCTTAAATGAAACCCCTGGGCCGGAACCGTTTCCGGGAACGTGCCCACAACGTCTCAGGTGAGAATTTTCACGGCCCCTCTCCAGCCCGACACGCCCTCCACCACGCATACACGCCCGCACCCCCCCCACTCCCCGCACACACACACACAGACACACACACACACACACAAACACGCGCCACTACGGCAAATGTGCGCGACAACACAACTGGATAATGAAAATGGCATTCCTCCTCCTGTCCAACTTTTCCCGCTTCTCCACGTACATCTGCGCCACGTAATCCGACGACCCAGTCTTGACCGCGGAGATCACGCAACCGAACAACACGGGGTGCCTAGAACCAACTTTCGCGACGGCAGCCACAGACTTCCGAGCCGTGGACACTATTCCGGCCATCCTGTCGGCTTCCAGAACATTCGATGGAAAGCGTGGGCTCCTGAGCCAAACAACTACGATTGCGGTACACAACCGAATGCTGCACATCCTTGCGTCGCGGAGGAAGCCCGAGGGCCGTGCGGTCGGCAGCGAAGACTTCCAGCATTAGTCGCCATATGGGCAGAGGGGGCGGGGCAACAATTCATTGCTCCAGATTTCGTAATAAAAGGGAGGGGGTCTGGATCCTCCAAGACAAGCCATTTCAGACCCCCCCCCCGTGGGAGAACCCTCCAAAACATCGTCCCCAGACCCCCCAGGCCCTCCAAGATAGCCTGGAAGAGACCCCCCCCGAAATGAGACCCCCCTCCCTTTATTACGAAATCTGGAGTGCTCATTTGCTTCGGCAAACACATCGAATGAGGCATGGATGTTCACACTGCCTTCTCACTGACGCGATTGAGTTTCATGCGTATTCATGGTCGGCGATGGGGCGTCCCACAATGCTGACCCGGGCACGGCGGGCTACCCAGGCTTCGGACGCGGCAGTGTTGGCTAACGCGGTGGTACGTGACGGCTTGCCTGACACGTCTGGCACAGATCGGGATACTGGTTGTGAATTGTTCGTCTTATCATTTCGCATGGCATCGGCGCGCCAAATTAAGTCAAACCGTGTCCTGGCGTCAAGAAGAATCGGATCAGGCACACTCAGGAGGACGAGCAGCAGTAGGAGCACGAAGAGGCGCAGCGGTTGCGACAGAAGTAGCAGAAGGAGTGGCAATCGTTGTAGCAATGAAAACATGATCGACCGACGAACCCGGAAAGGAATACAGAAATGTAAGGCATGGCAACGTTTCAAAGACACCTGATTGGGCGACGGGCAAATGCAATGCTGAACGTATCGATCTTGATGTACTGTGCCGAGGGCTGTGCTGTGCAACGCCGTGCTGAACTGCGATGTGCCATGCCGCGATTGTGCTCTATATATATATATATAGCGTTGTGGATCGAGTCCTCTTTGCATCCGAGTCCTGACCGAACTGATCTGGATCTTAAGCTCGAGCTGCCTGAGCAGATGGTAGCTGCCCCAGAACAAATCGACAGAGGGGACATGCCAGGAGGACGCGCCGCGGAACGTCCCAGGGGACGCGCCAGGCGACGTGCCAGGGGACGTGCCATGGGCACGCACCGCGGGACGTGCCAAGGGGACGCGCTACGGGACGTGCCAATGGACGTGCCGCGGGACGTGCCAGGGGACGCGCCGCGCGACGTGCCAGGTGGACTCGCCACGGAACGCGCAAAGGAACGTGTCAAGGTGCAATGTTGAGTGTATCGATCTTGATGTACCGTGCCGAGGGCTGTGCTGCGCTGGGCCGTGCTGAACTGCGATGTGCCATGCCGCGAGTGTGCTCTATATAGCGTTGTGGATCGAGTCCTCTTTGCATTCGAGTTCTGACCGAACTGACCTGGATCTTAAGCTTGAGCTGCCTGAGCAGATGGTAGCTGCCCCAGAACTAATCGACAGGGGGGACATGCCAGGAGGACGCGCCGTGGAACGTCCCAGGGGACGCGCCAGGCGACGTGCCAGGGGACGTGCCATGGGCACGCACCGCGGGACGTGCCAAAGGGACGCGCTACGGAACATGCCAGTGTGCCTGGGCGACCTGGACACGTGAAAACACGCATTTCGCTCAAGACGTTCTCAGCACATCCTCATGCTAGACATCCGCCTGGGCAACCTGGACACGTGAAAACAAGCGTCTCGATCAAGACTTCCTCGACACATCCTCATGCTAGACATCCGCCTGGGCGACGAGGACGCGTGAAAACAAGCGTCTCGCTCGAGACATCCTCAACAAATCCTGGCGCTAGACCTCTGTCTGGGCAACCTGGAGGCGTGAAATCAAGCGTCTCGCTCCAGACATCCTCAAGACCTGGGCACGTGAAAACAAGCATTTCACTTGAGAGATCCTGTGAATTGAGGTCCCCAGGAGAGGACAGTCTATAAGACAAAACAAGCGGTTCGCTCGAGACATCCTCAACCAATTCTGAAAAACAAGCGTTTCGCTAGGGACATCCTCAAATTTCAATTCGCTGGCCCACCTCTACCTCGATATTGATCGCAAAAGAAATTCGCCGGCCCACCTCAAATCAAACCCGGGGGTAAGCCATCTAAAAGAGAACCCTGGGCTTAAGCCCTTTCCCGGAATAACAGTAGTAATCGTACTCGTAATGATAACAATAACAATGACAACAAAAATGGTACCAATGGCAGTGATGGTAATAGTCGTGTAGTGTTGAAGTCTTAATGGTGGTCAGGTTTTTTGACAACATCGCTTTCGGGGCGAATATGCTGGGAGCCTCTCGGGTCCCAGATGTCGTCAGTGCTAGGCAAGCGCAGGGCTGCCGATATCCACAAGCAGCCGCAGGAATACCATCCGAATCCTACCCGAACTCTGCTTTCGCGTTGGCACGTCCAGAGATGACCTCCTCGATTGCCTCATCATTGCGACATACACCTGACACGAATTCACAATCGACACCCTTTCGTTTCATGACGCGGGCATCCATCACCCCATCCATATTTTGAGAATGATGAAGCGCACTCGCATAGAACGAAGCGGTTTGCGTCCAGCGGGAACGACGCTGAAAACATTGAGATGCGCTGCCAAATCCGACCAGCCCCCAGGGCGCAGGTGGTTTGGCGCACCAGCTCTTCCAAACAATGCTCTCGTAAGTTCTTTTTCATTGGGAAGCGCGTGATGACTCAAAACGCAAGATGAACGAACTCTCTCAGCGCTGCCAGCTCGGGCAGAAGCTTCGGTTCAAGTCTCGGCTGCAACGCTTGTTGAGGACCCCTTCCAAACCCTGCGCGCACCATCACGTAAGGCAGACGATCGGTGACTGAAATCAACCCGTCGGACCTCCGCGGCCCAACCCCCCATATCCGAACAATCCCCACCACCACCCTCCCCTGAGTCGGGGATGGACAGACCTCCCTTTAGTAAAACGTGGTTTCGTGAAAACAACATCGGGCCCAAACCTGGTGGGCGCAAACCTGGAAAATGACGGCCGCGGCGCCCTCTCGAGAACCGAAAACGGGCAATTCACTAATCGACGTGTCAGGGAAGGAGGTCTGTCCACCCCCGACTGAGGCCCAGGAACAATCCAGTGGAGGATGTCAGTATATTTTGTGACGGACATATCCCAACAGTGCCCATCATTCCCTTCAGCCCCCCTCTGCCCCTGCCTATTTCAAAGGGGCCCTGGGACACACAAAAAATACACAATTACCCCAGTGCGACCCTGCCTAGAAGTTGGAGCCCCTAGGAAAACAGCATTAGTTGCTATGCTATGCTATGCTATGCTATGCTACGCTATGCTATGTTATGCTTTACTGCGCTATGCTATGCTATGCTATGCTAAGCTATGATATGTCATGCTGCGCTCTGCTATGCTAAGCTATGCTGTGCTATGCTGCGCTATGCTGTGCTATGCTGGGCTTTGCTATGATATGCTGTGCTGCGCTGTGCTACGCTCTGCTATGCTATGCTGTGCTCTGCTAAGCTAAGCTAAGCTAACCCTCTAAACAGAGCCTAGGTATGGTATTACACCCATGCTATGATATGCGATGCTGCGCTACGCTACGCTATGCTATGCTGTGCTCTGCTATGCTAAAGCTCAGCGAAGCTAAGATAAAGGTTAGCTAGCTAAGATAAACCTGAGCTAAGATGAATATAAGCTAAGCTAAGATGAAATAAGCTAAGCTAAGATGAGATACGCAACGCTACGCTAAAGGGACGTAACTTGGGGAACCGGGGGGCGGATACTGGGGGAACCGCCCGGGGCGGGCCCCACTGCCCGGCCCTTTAAGCAAACCGAGTCAGAACCCTTCTAGGCGGAGCCTAGGTAGGGAAATAATACGTTTCCCGATATTTTCTAATATTTTCTCGGTAGTTGACGATTAATTGTGTCTGTGTGTTTTGTCCCCTCCTGAATCTCCCAACAATTCCCATCATTCCCTTCAGCCCCCCTCTGCACCTGCCTGTTTGCCGCAGGCCCTGAACGGGGGGCCGCGGGCTGGCAGAGGGGCCGGATACCAATGGCTCCCAACTTCGCGCTTCGCGCTGCGCGAAGCGCGAAGTGCAAATAACTTCGCGCTCTCGCGCCGCCTCCCAGGGGAGAAGAGGAGGATGAGGAGGAATCGAAGCCGAACCGCGAAGCGCGAATAACTTCGCACCCTCGAGAGCGCCCTTGGATATTGCCGCCAGATGGCTCGGGATGGCCTCGGACAGCCCAAGACGGCCTCCAAGACTGTGCACGGTGGCCCCTTCTGGCCCAGAGATGTCCCATGACGGCTTCAGGATGGCCCGCGGTGGCCAGAGCCTCCCAGGGGGCCTCCGAGAGACAGGATGTTCAAGAAGATCAAGAGTTAGTACGACGACTCGCCTTGTTACCATTCCGAATCCGATGAGTGTTTTGCAACATCGGTCGCACCACATATATGGCAAGAGGTCTTCTCCTACAACAGATTCAGCTGCACTGTCACGTCGAAACTGATCTTGTTTAGAACCCTCCGCGCATGTTTTTTTTTACATGCCCGTGTTGCACGATCGTTACTCCGACAAGAAATCGCACCACCCCAGTCAGGCTGGCATCGACTGCCCCCCCTTCGTCCGGTTTTTTCGGGCGCCTTTTCTTGCAACTGTGGTGGTTCGGTTTATTAGGGCGCTTTCTTTGGATCGGAGCTTAGGGGGTCTGGATTAAAGAGGCAAGCCGTCGAAGAGGGGGGTCCGGAATCTTAGGTCGCATTTGGAGGGGGGTCCCGTTGCTTCGGGGGGGGGTCGATGAAGAA